TTAATACCCAGAAGCAGAGAAGAAGATTTTCATAGAATACATGCATTTTCACTATATAATCAATAGGGCCCCACCCTAAAACCAGAACCCCTGACCCTGGGGCCATAAAATTCACAATTTTGGTAGAGGCACTCTTGCTTATCATAACTATGTACTTAGTTGGTTTATTTAATACCCAGAAGCAGAGAAGAAGATTTTCAAAGAAATACATGCATTTTCACTATATAATCAATAAAGGGCCCCGCCCTAACACCAGTACCTCTAACCCTGGGGCCATAAAATTCACAATTTTGATAGAAGCACTCTTGCTTATCATAACTATATACTTAGTTGGTTTATTTAATACCCAGGAGCAGAGAACAAGATTTTCAAAGAAAACATGCATTTTCACTATATAATCAATAGAGGGCCCCACCCTAAAACCAGAACCCCTGACCCTGGGGCCATAAAATTCACACTTTTGGTAGAGGCCCTCTTGCTCATCATAACTATGTACTTAGTTGGTTTATTTAATACCCAGGAACAGAGAAGAAGATTTTCATAGAAATAATGCATTTTCGCTATATAATCAATATAGGGCCCCGCCCTAACACCAGAACCCCTGATCCTGGGGCCATAAAATTCACAATTTTGGTAGAAGCCCTCTTGCTCATCATAACTATGTACTTAGTTGGTTTATTTAATACCCAGGAACAGAGAAGAAGATTTTCAAAGAAATAATGCATTTTCACTATATAATCAATATAGGGCCCCGCCCTAACACCAGAACCCCTGACCCTGGGGCCATAAAATTCACAATTTTGGTAGAGGCACTCTTGCTCATCATAACTATGTACTTAGCTGGTTTATTTAATACTCAGGAGCAGAGAAGAAGATTTTCAAAGAAATAAGGCATTTTCACTATATACTTATTTAGCCCCGCCCTAGCACTAGAACCCCTGACCCTGGGGCCATGAATTTCACAATTTTGGTAGAGGACTCAATGCTGATTACAATCATGCAAACAGTTTGACTGCTTGATGTCCAGGAGTAAAGAAGAAGATTTTTAAAGATTTCATTAATTTTAGTGGTTTTTGCCCCACCCCTCAGGCCCCAGGGGGGCAGGGACCATGAAATTCACAATTTTTGTTCCCCTTTACCCATAGATGCTTTGTGCCAAATTTGGTTGAAATTGAATGAGTGGTTGCAGAGAAGAAGCTGGAAATGTTTAAATGTTAACGGACGACGTACGACGACGGACGACAACGGATAGCAATAGGTCACCTGAGTTTACTCAGGTGACCTAATAAAACGGTAATCCTAATCAGGTATTGTCTGCAAGCTCAATCGCCATGCTTGATTGCACTGTTTACCTCGAGGCGATAGATGATTGACACACCGAGAAGCCAAACTTTGAAGGTGCTAATGATAATAATCGGGTAACAACTACCGGGGTAACAATAGTTTAATTAAATTATAATTTGGCAGAACTTTCTGTCTTCCGAACATGTGCAGTGCTAGTTTGTATATAAAATCCAGTGACCCTTCGACATTACGTAATTGCGTGTTCCGGTTTACATGTACTTATGTAAAAGCTTTGAACACACACAAAAAATGATATTTAGAAATCCTTTAGCGCACAATGAATTTTAGCGCTCAGGGGCTTTTCGCCAAAGGCGCTAAAATTAGTAGTGCGCTAAATATTCTCGTTTTACAGTAATCAATAGAGCCCCGCCCTAACACCTGAACCCCTGAACCTGGGGCCATAAAATTCACAATTCTGGTAGAGGCACTCTTGCTCATCATAACTATGCACTTATTTTATATGATACCCAGTAGCAGATAAGAATATTTTCAAAGAATTAATGTATTTTCACTATATAACCAATAGAGCCCCGCCCTAACACCAGAACCCCTGACCCTGGGGCCATAAAATTCAAAATTTTGGCAGAGGCACTCTTGCTCATCATAACTATGCACTTAGTTGGTTTATTTAATACCCAGGAGCAGAGAAGAAAATTTTCAAAGAAATAATGCATTTTCACTACCTACTTATTTAGCCCCGCCCTAGCAATAGAACCCCTGATCCCAAGGCCATGAATTTCATAATTTTAGTAGAGAAACAGTTTGACTGCTTGATGTCCTGGAGTAAAGAAGAAGATTTTTAAAGAATGCATTAATTTTAGTGGTTTTGGCCCCACCCCTCAGGCCCCAGGGAGGCAGGGATCATGAAATTCACAATTTTTGTTCCCCTTTACCCATAAATGCTTTGTGCCAAATTTGGTTGAAATTGGTTCAGTAGTTGCAGAGAAGAAGCTGAAAATGTTCAAATGTTAACGCACAACGCACGGCGCACTACGACGGACGAAAACAGATAGCAATAGGTCACCTGAGTTTACTCAGGTGACCTAAAAATAGAGGAAGGAATATCAATTATGGTTGAATTACAATTATGAAATAGTCATATTTCGATTATCGCTTCGTGATCGGGAGGCCCGGGTTCGATTCTCGTTCGCAGCGCCGCGTCAAACCTAAGACGTAAACATAGGTAGTGACTGTTCCTTCGCTAAACCCTCGGCATTAGATGCGAAAGTCACGGGTCTTTCGGATATGACCTTAAAAACGTAGGTCCCATGTCGCGGTAGGCGTTGGTACATTTAAGAACCCTCACTGCTCAATGACCCTGAGTGCCGAGTATAGGTCTAAATTTGAAGCCCTTCACCGGCATAAAGTGACGTCTCCATATGAGTGAAAAATTCTCGAGAGGGGCGTTAAACAACATAAAATCAATCAATCAATCATATTTCGATGGACAACTAACATATTTTTAGTCATCTCAAAATACAATCTTGATGCACATCAATAGAATCTTCCAACCTCAAAATATAGCAGCTAGGATAATCTTAAATGAAAAATACGTATCACTTTAGATGCCCTTATTAAACATTATGCCCTTATTGAGGCTGGTTGATGATTTATGAACTTCTTTATTTACAAAGAAACATCCTCCAGTTCAAAATATTTCATGGCATGTCTTCTGCCTATATACATGTTTTTGTTTAATTTCAAAGTTCTGAATACTCTCAGAGACAATTTCAGAACTTTGATTACCAAAATAGAAAAAGTTCCTTACAATATTCATGGGTCATTCACTAAAATTAGTTCTCTATTAGTAGCAGGAAATCCCAATTAAAAGTATTGAGGAAAAACTTTAACTTAAAAAGGTATTGGTTGTACGTGAAAATTTGTTACTTTTGATAAAAAAATCTTGTTTCGTGTATTTTGTTGTATTGTAATGCTTACATGGTATTGTCAGATATTGTGATTTGTTTTTATTGTATAGATACATTGTATAATATATGTAGAAGGCCCCGCTTAAGGATGATAGTTCTTGCACTAATCGGGTAAGACAATTTCAAGTTTTTTTGTGTTAAGCGTCTGCGTGTGCCTTGGTTTTGAAAACGAACATCGGACAAGAAGCCCAGGGGCCCATCGCTCACTTGAGCAACTGGTTAGGAAAAAGCAAAACTTAGTTTGGTATTGAAAAGTTTAAATATATAATAAAAAAGTGGGTTCCGGGGAGGGGGCGGGGTATTTAAACAAAGGTAAATCTACACTTTTTTAGAATGCTTTTGACTTAATGTGACACATAATAGTTTTGTTGTTTATAAGGTGAACATTTTTATTGATATAGCCTTTGTATTCCTTTGTTATTATCCAGTTTATGGCTCCTCTATTTTATGAATTCCAAATCTACATTATCTTTTCTTACGATTTTAAAATGATGATCAATAGAAAAGGAAACTATTAAGATGAAACTTGTGCAGAAGCATGCTTCGGTAACGAGATTCATGTTTGTTCTGAAAAGTTGACGACGAAGACAACGACAACAACAACGCTAACAACGACAGACAACGGACAAATTTTGATCATAAAGGCTCAGGTGAGCTAAAAAAGCAAACAAAATCAGGAGTGCTGAAATAGATTATTCTAGTCGAAATCTTTTACTACTTTCATTCTCTTTTATGATCTATTCAAGATGTTTCTAGAGTTGGGTATATTATTAGCATCCAATGCTTTGATTTTGTTAAAAATGTTTTTCTAAGAGAAAAAAACTGTATTTATGAAATCAAATCCTTTGAATGATGTCATTTTTATGATTATTATATTTGTGTTTTATTTTTTGCTTCGTGTGAAATTTGCGAATAGATAGGTAGGTTTTTGAAAGAAATGTGGACGCTAAACAGAGTAAAACTTGCTTTGTTCTTACCTTCTGTCAATAAATTACTATTATCATTTTTATTATTTGATGAGACCATTTATCATTATTTTTTGTATAATGTTCAAATTTTCTCAAAAACTGTCGTAATGTCTTATGTTCTCCAAATCTTCTCAAATTCATTTTTATGTTCATATTATCTAAATTACGTGCCATTTAAAGCGATATGAGCTGCATTTTTGAAAATTTAATTTTGCTGTTAAAATGTATTATTTTAAGAAATCTGTACGTAACTTAAACCTTTATGATCAATTAGACTAAAATAAAGCAGAAGAAAGACTTCTATATGCAATCCCATCTACAGTTTTATATAAGAAATAATTATTGTAAAGGATGACGGTAATGTAATTTTTATTCAATCGAAGCTTAAAAATAGTTCTTCCATCGCAAATTTGAATAACTGAAGTTTATTAACCTTATCTTTTTTTTTGTCATTGAAATAGTTATTTACAATTTCGCAACAAAAAATTTTGACATCAAAGTTGCAGCTCATTTTGCTTTAAATATAAATGACAATTATTTAAACTAAATTTATCTCATTTTATCTGGCAAAAACCATCCCAATATAGTCATTAGGAAAAATGCATGTTGATCTAGATAAATCTTGTTTATATTACACCGGAAAAAGAAAGGCACAAATAAATTTCAATCATTGCACTTAAAACCTTATAAAATAGATTTGTTGTGAGACAGTTTTTGTTCATTTTATACAATAATTAACCCCATACATATCTCGTTTTACCTGAATCTTTTTCGATTACATGCTCGTCGTTTACATTCAAAGTAAATATTCCACTAGTAGCATTGAATCTGTAGGAAAGTCTGGTTTCAAACATCTGAACTTCATTTAAAAGAGCAACCCTACACGTCAATCCATTACAATCAATGTGTGTTTTACACACAATATCCGTGGCATGAGTGAAAGAATCCAACAACGTTGGGCATCCTGAAAAATGACAAATAATTTAATGTCAAAGTCTGTAATCGCATAACAAGATCTCCGATCTAATAATTCAATTTATCATTCAAAAATCTAAATTAAAAAAAACAATGTTAGAAAAAAATCAATAAAACCCGAATGAATATTAAACGCTTAATCTGACATACATTTGTTCAAAACCTAACTTTTTGAAAACATTAATCAAAATATAACTGATAGACTAAATAAATGATTTTATTACCAACGGAATGATTTTTTTTTTTGACAAATTAACAAGATGAAGAGTGATGACAAAACAATATTTCTATTATTCTAGAAATTTCTTTCCATAGAACCCACAGTTTGTTAGAGAATAAAAAATACAATATTTTAGAAATGTAATATGAGTTTTGGAGAGAGAAGAGAGGAGGAGAGAAAAAATATTTCTAATATTTTTTGTAGAAAAAGATAAGTTTTAGCACATCGATTATATTGTAACTTACTTTTTTCAATGGATTTTAAATGTCTTTCTATGAATTCAACTTTTTGAGACCTTGTCATAATACTGAATAAGCTATCGTTTCGGAATGCTTGTTGGTCTTCTTTCATTTTATGTGCTAAGAGTGAGGTTAAAGTGTCAAGGAATTCAGTTTCTTCGTTTTGGGGTAAAATTCCAAGTAATTCAGGCAAGGTTAGGTTTTCAATGTCACTGAAAACAAAAAGAAATCTACAGGTAGAATAACTTTAAATACTATATAGTAGAGAATATTACATACCCTTTTCCATATCACATCCTGTATCAGCCCGAGACACCAATATCAGCCAGAGGGCCGAAGGCCCGAGGGCTGATACTGGTCGAGGGCTAAAACAGGATGTGATGTGGAAAAGGGTATGTGTTATTATGTTTATTACATACTTAGTAATAAAATACAGTACACATTAAGTTGGGAAGAAGATAAGTAAATAATCATGCACGAACTTCTACATGTAAATGGTTTATTGTCTCATACGGTTTGGGTTTGTTTTTACATGTACTTTTATTTCAAATGATCCGTAATTTGAAAATACATGTAATCTATTAGTTGTCAATTATTAGATTATTATTAAAAAAATTAAAATTAAGAGAATATGTAATCCCCAAACTATGTGTATGATCACAAGTACGGTTTTTTGAGGTTTAATTTTCAAGGATGTGAAATTGATCGGTATCAGCCCCGCAAACCATATCAGCCCTGCAGGGCTGATACAACTATTGTGACGTCAGGCATATCGCATATGCAATAATCCTGTATTAATTACTAAGTATGTAATAATAAGTAATATTGTAGTGGTTAATTAGTTTAAAATTATGATATACCTGAAGTTCAAGTTCATATCATCTCTGGAAAGTAGTTCAAAAAGGTTATTCAGAAGGCGCTCCGTTTCCGGTGGTTTGTTATTTACATTTCCAGACCTTATGACTGTGATGTTATCCCATTTTTTACCATGAATATCTTTAGTTATACTATCTCTGACCCCCTCTCTGGCAACCTTTGAATCTTCAGACGTTGGATGTGCTGATGCATCACCCTCTTGTGCGACATGCCCTTTTTGTTCAAGAGTAAAATCATTGCAGTGTTGTTTCCATTTTGGAATTGGAAACCGTTTTAGTAAGAAGACAGATGGATCTATGTATCTATATTCATTATATTTGTCTTCCAGAATGTTTCGCTCTTGTACTGCTATACTTATAAAAGGCTCACAATCACTTCTCATATTTGGTTGAGCAAGGTATGTCCCAGCTTTAAAAATAGTGCCAACCTTGTCTGACAAACGATTATTTAAGAATTGGACATTAGAAATAAAAATTGTATACATTTGCATGCTGTTTGATTCAGGCATAATAGCAATGGTGTTGTTTGTAACAAGATATGCAATTCCACTCACTGGTATGACAACAATCTATGAAAATAAAAAAAAAATGTCGTGATTTACAGAAGAGAAAGGAATTGCATTTTAAGAATGATTATCGAACACCCCTAGATACACCTGAAGTAAGCCATCGTAACAATTTTTTGAACGGTCAGTTATATCGTCAATGCCTTTGATGGACGCAGAGTCGAAATATGAAATAAAAGATCTGTTTTTGGTTCACGTGATTCTGAACCAAAGCTTAGGCAAACACGCTCATTCTCTTTTTCATGAAATATATGGAGATAAGGAGTAGTATTCAAGCTCACAATGCATAATATGAGCAATGAAACAGGGACCTCCAAAACATCAGAGTGAAGGATATGGAGATAACAAACAGTATTCAATATCAAAGTCCATAAAACAATGCAAAATAGGAGCAGAGCAAACACGGACCTCCGAAACATCAGAGGTGGGATCAGGTACCATGGAGGAGTGAGTATCCCCTGCTGACCGGTCACACCCGCCGTGTTCTACTTGTTATGATCGGGAAATAACGGAAAACCCGTCGTCAATTCAGTGTATAAATGATGGACTAATAATTAGTATGAAAAACGTCAGTCAGCATTTGACTCAATGATAAATTGTATTTGCTGACAGAAGTGAGATCAGGTGCCATGGACATACTTTAATATCAGATGAAGAACAAAAGAACTCTGTCGGCAGGGAATACTCATTTGTAAGCAACTGAATAGTGGGACAGCTCTATTTACAGTAAAAGGAGGAGAAAACATTGATTAATTACTTACGAATATAAACTTACATTATCTGGTTGATCAACAAGAAGATCAATACCCCTTGATCTATTCCTCTCGTCAAAAACACCACATCCACAACCTTCTCTGCAAGATGCGATTTTACGAGGAAACCCACCGTGGAATTTTGTTCCAAAAATCGATTGTGTTTGGAATCTCCCCATTTGAACACTAAATATCAAAGAAACTTATGATAATTCAAAAAGGATGTACTTACATGTACAATATAAATTGTAGTAAAACTGTTATTTGATTTTATGATTAATTATAAATCGTATTACTTACGAGTCTGATAATGATAGAAATCTAACTTTGGCTTCTCTTGTAAAATGGAAAAGCTCGTGAAGTTTGGAAAAGAAGTCCTTCGCTTTCGATTTAAAGTTCAGAAGCTTTGACACTGTGATTTGCATTGTCTGGCCTATCACTTCCGTTATGTTATGATAAACCTTTAACATGACATGATATTAGGCAAATATATTTATGAATTATCACTTCTAACAGAACTCTACGTTTCATCTATAAATAATTTCATCAAACCTTTGTTTTTTCGTTTGAACTCCATCCTTTAAGAAAAAGATGATCGCTCTTCAATAGTTCGATTATTGCATCAAAGTCTTTCTCATTTAAAATCCAGGTAGGGTGTTGCTCTGAAAAAAAAATCAAGGTAACATTTGAGTTAACCCTTTGTGCAAAAAATGAGGTTGCTTATTTGCTTTAATACACGTCGAGAGAAAAATTAGATATGCATGACTTTGTAGTTTTATTGCGTGGACCCTGCGGTCCACGCAGTAAATATATAAGCGAAGTTAAACCGGATGCCCTGGGCAAACGACAGGCTACGCATGCGCGCGAATGCTAGAGCGTTCGGACCTTAGGTAACTTGCCCGTAGAATAATTCGCCCTATTCGGATTAAAATATGCCATTCATTGGAAAATCACGCTTTTAAATCTGCATATCGCTTTTACATATTTATTGGCAGATCCGATTTCCTCTCTTTTACATATACTTTTATACTAAACATTGATTCTATGGTACAAACATTTTAAGAAGTTACAGTATAGATACATGTAACTTAACAACTTGAATAAGAAACGTCACTCAACGAACAGATATACATGTAGCTTTTAAAGCTTTTAAAGTAGAGCAAGTTTTCACCGGCATTAGTTTTGTGCATCATGACTCGCAAAATAATTTAATATTTCAGCAATCTAATTATTGTTTGATAAAGGTCTGTAGCAAGGGCTTTTAATGAGTGTGTGTGTTGGGGGGTGGGGGTGGGGGCTCCGACAAAATAAAAAAAAAACAAATCTGCGTTGTACAGAGGTGTGCTACACGTGAACCATCAGATCTCCATTTTTCCCATGATAAATTTCTTCCGTAAAAATCTAGAACAGGTGTCAAGTCCCAGCCAATATGTGTTACACGTGTCAAAATAACCCGATTTTATAAACATGTTAAAACTGACAAAACTAAAGATCGCTAATCGTAGATAAAATTTCACATTTGCGCTTTGAGACAACGATCAGTTATAAGTGGCAGATAATTTTAGAATAAGTGAACAAACCTTACATGAATATTCCCTACACCTAGAAATTTTTTTAATTGAATTTCAGTTAGAAAAAACAAGAATATGGTCCACGTATTGCAGTCCTTTTTTAAAGGACAGCAACTTGTTTGTATTTAAATGCAAGTCGTCACTTTCAGTGATGAAACACGCTGAACTCTCAACAGAGTTTCTCATTATTTTTTTCCATTAGCATTTTGATGTCCTATTTCAATTCAAAACTAACAGATCAAATCCAATGGATTAAAGTAATGATTGTTTTATATTGTAATATTTTGCCTCGGAAAATTTAATTCCTCAATGACAAAAACAAGAATGAAGACTCAGATTTTAAGGCTAAGTTTGAACCTACAGAGGGAACTCAAATTTTAACCGTGCACAAAATATGACTTTGCTTTAAATATTTACGGGATAACTCCTTATTGCTAGGCATATCTCTCCCTTTTTATGCCATGATCACAGGTCTGTATAGTTTTTTAAAATATTTTTTTTCAAATTGATTACTGTCGTTATCTTCAGTTATTTCATATATTCATGAAATACATGTATGAAGATAACAAACAGTAATTAATCTCAGAAGCCCATTAAAACAATACAAATTTGGGGAAGAGCAAGCGTAGGACCAGGTGCCATGTCGAATTAAAGTTAGGAGGATCACAATTCGCTCAACATTCTGTCGCAGGGGATGATCACTCCTCCATGGCACCTGATCCCACCTCTGATAATTTGGAGGTCCTTGTTTGCTATGCTCCCATTTAGAATTGTTTTATGGACTTTTGAGTTGGAATACTGTTCGTTACATCCATATATTTAGTTCTCAGGAAAATTTTTACAATTTTTTTTTTGTTTTTGTTTAAAGATGTCGAATATCTTTTTTGTATGAAGCGAGGTCCGCGACCCGACATTTTGTTAGGATATTATACATAACTAGATATAGCAGGTGAAGTCACGTTATTACTATTACTCAGCCTTACTTTCCTTTATCCTTTGTTGAGCTGAGATTTTAAAATTCGTATTTTCGGAATCATTATAACCTTGGCTGTAAAGGAAAAATATATCTACATGCATATAATATGTAATATTAAAAAAGACAATAAAAAATTGACATTGTCAAAAAACAAGTGTTATTATTGATTAAAGACAGACATTTTAAAATGTTTATAAAACATATATGCAATATAAAAAAAAACATATTAAGATGCTACACAGTGTAAAAATAAACATACCATTAGTACTGTACATGCTCTCTTCAACATTTGTTTGCACTTGTATTAAATCAGAAACTGACTCTCTTAATCTGGTAAATAAAATTGAAAAATTCTTCAAAACATGCAAAAACTCGTGTCATTATAGAAATTCCGATAACCCTCAAGATATTTCATAAAAGTTTTGCTTTATTTACACAAAAATGAACATTTACTTTAAAAGTACCTTAACACTTCAATTTCAATTTTTTGAAATGAAGCTAAGGGGTCTTCAAAGAAATTCCATGACTTCTCTAACCCAAGAAATAGCTGTTTCATGTTTTCATAAATCAAGGAAAGGGTTGTATTCACAGAGTGTATCACTTCCTACATAAAAAAATAAAAATAAAAAAATAAAAAAAACCCCAAAATAATCAGCGATCAAACGGCCAAAAAATTCAAATCTTAACAAAACGGCGAAATTCTATCATTTTACGTCGGTTATAAAAAAATATATTAAAGAAATCCTGGATTTCACTTATTTTTCCGTTAATGTAATATCATGTAATTGTTGTATATTTCTGGAGAGGCTAGGGATAATAATGTATTTTTTATTCTTTTGATAGATTCACATTCACAAGTTGTATATACTACTTTTATTTTAAGCCTACCTCATGAAATAGTTCTACGTCACTTTTAACGTCCTGTACAAATGACTTCGTTTCCAAGATGACATCAAATGATTTCTTGACGGCTTGATTGACATTAAACTTGATAATAGTTGATAAATCTTTTGTGATTTCGTCATTGATGCGCAAAATTGACTGTTGGCATTGTTGTAAATCCTCTGAAATATCATTTATTGATTTTCTCAGTTTATTTTCAGTAGATGGCCCAAAAATAAGATCATTTAATCCTTTCACTGCCTCTTTTATGGGCCTAATAATTCTTCTTTGCGCTTTATCGTATTCAGTCATGATATCCTGTGCATCTTTAAAGCCGTAATCCTGTAAGTATATGGAAATAATTGTTGTATTCATTTTTTTCTGTTTACAATGTTATTTTAAAATAACATATCTACAGACAGTATCAATTTGTGTTTACTCATAAACAACTTTTTTATGGGTGAGTTTTACCTTTTTTTAGTCCAATTCCAAGCATTTTCTAATCTTGCTCTACACATTTGTTTTTTCATGATTCAAACGTTCACATTCTGTTTAACGATTCTGAACACCACATACTTTAATTTAAAAGTTGAGCCAATTCATAAACTAACTATATAGCAACATATTATCTCTCAT